GGCTGAACTTTTTTGTAAGGACAAAATACTCAGTGTAGCTTTCAGATGATGACATTAAAAAAAACCCAAAAACAACCCACAAAAAAAACCCTCCGAACAAATAGAGATTAACTTTAGATTGTATAAATGGCAGATTAAATAATTTACCAAGAGTTTTCCCTTCTTTCATGCATTTTAAAGCCTGTTGTTTTAAGAGAAGGACCAAGAACACCGTTGTTTCACTAACAGTAGCTCCCCTCCTCTACCTGCCTTCCTCTTCTGGTTTGGGTTCTGTCTGCAGTTGACCTGAACGAGGAGAAAATAAAAAGGCATCAACAGTGGCGTATTTTCTATTTCTTCCTGACCTTAATTCATTGTCTGTCCCGCAGCTTGTGCAGATCCTTGTCTAATGATTTTCTGTTGTTTCCTCAGGCTAGGAGACATCCTTTATGAACTCATGAAAGCTGCTCACATCCTGATCTTACTTTGGTAGGGCTTCTCTTGCTTTAGAAAGATTTTTATTTCTCCGAGCCTTGTCTCCTACTGGGTCACAGCAGAGATTTAGAAACCGGGCTCAGTTCTTAGCGGGTGTTGGATTTCAACAAATTATCGTCCCTCATGTTGCACATCATTCCCAGACTAACTTTGCCCCAGTGGGGGATGTTCACCCATTTAAATGTATTTATGTGTGCATGCTTGCCAAGAGAATTTTAGGACTAAAATAGAACTTTAATTGGAAAACTGAGCTTGTGTGATACAGAAATGCAGACAGCTGAGAAGAATTGGAAGAGTTGATATGTCCTAATGGGATTGAGTCTGTCAACAGACAGCAAGCGCATAAGCTGAGGTGAGGTGGGTCCATATTTGCTGTGAATAAATTTCAGATTCACTTGTATCTATAGCTGCGCAAGCAGAGAACAACAATCCAATAAGAGAATACAACACGATAGCGCAGAAACTCCAATAGTAAGAGTTTTAGGAATAACATGGTGCAAGCACTCTTTGAGAGAGAGGGAATCGTCAGAAAATGAGTATGTTTTGCAGGGTTTGCTGGGTGGATAATGAGTGCTGTCCCGGGGGAGATACTCACTGCTCCTTGATTTGCACCTTTTTATCAAGGTAAATAAGCTTCCTAATGGCTGGCTCTTGCGAGCTTTCTCCTCTACAAATAATAGTAAAGTTATCAAAGATCTCATCACTAATGCTGCTGTCGGGGCTGTAGTGATTTTTCAGCAGCCTTTAGTCCAATGCTTTAGTATTTGATCCGTTTTGTCTTTCCAGCATTTTTTCGGGATGGGGTATATTGCCTGCCTGTAAATTACTCTTGTGTATTTTAAAGCATCTGTAGCAAACATTTCAGCTTTTGCTAATTTTGGTTCTAAAAATGTCTGTCTAGTTACACCATAGTAGGACCCATCTCCGTAGCTCATCTTCTACAGCTTTTTGTAAATTCTGATAGAATCAGTGCTGCTGTTTCTTGCTCCATGTTCTGAATGAACCAAGGAAGAATGGATTAAACATCCTGCTTTCATTTCAATCACAATCTCTAAACACTTTTTTCTTTAATGTAAGTGAAGTTACCACTGAGTCAGTGACCTCTAACGTCTACCGTACACGCAAACCACATCCCCATTCTTTACCAGAAAGCTTTTAAAGTTTTTCTTGTTAACACACAGAACATATTTGGAAGATTTGCAGTAAAAGCTCTAGCACTCCCACTTTCCTGAAAGCCTGGTTGTATGCACAACCTTATTTCCACTGGTCAGGCATTTACAGAAAATGACATTTTTCATGACTTTAGTGCTGTCACATGGGTTTTATTTTCCAGATGCAGAGCCCCACACTTCTCCACAGCTCTTCCTGTACACTCACTTCACAGTACCAGGTAGACATACACTTCTTCAATCACTTTCCCACAGACTAAATTTTCACTTTTTCTTTCAGGAGTGGTTCCCCTGTTTCTGTATCTGTCCCTGGTCAGGTCTCTAGTAGCTTTTTTTTTTTTTGCGGTTACCATTGTGTAAATTGGAGTCATAAAAGCCGTTGGTGAAGAATGTTAGTATCTCGACCAGCAGAGCAGTTTCATGCCCCATCTGTCAGCTGGTGTTAGTCTGTAATCATTAATTTCATAAACAGAAGTACTGCATTCCATCAGCTGTAATACCCTTGATAGACCGTCATCTTTTTTACTAAACCAGAGTTATACGTACGTCAACCTAAGTTGACTTACAAATTTCTTGCTAGACACCATTTGCACAATACCTTTAAAGGTAGTCTATGAAAATCTGTATGTGAAAATCTACTGAGAGGGAACGCTGTCTCTAACTGGAGAATTTCAGACCCTTTTTCAACTCTTTTTCCCCGAAAAGCCGTACTCACAGTTTGTATTTGATCCTGCAATTGTTTGCCCGGCTGATGAGAGACACCTTCTACCAGTGACCGGGCTGTCGCACTGCAGCTGAACACGTGGACTGGTGCCAGCAAGGGCAGCTTAGGCCTGATTATTTTACATGAACCTGTTGGTCAAGCATTCCTCTTCCGAGTACACGCGTTGAAAATGGAGGGTGAATCAGCGTCACCCATGTCCCAATTCCTCAGCAACAGTGATTTTCTTTCTTTAAACTTGTAAGAAAGGTCCCTTCTTGGGTTTTTTTATTTTTTTTGTTAATGATAACCACTTAATTCCTATCTTTGCGCTCTCCAGACTCTCAGGCATTTTGCCAAATTCAGAAGTTCATCCCAAATCTCCCATTTTTAACAGTAATGGAGTGCAAAACCCGAGTTTCCCATTACTCATAATTGCCCAGCAACACTTCATGCAGCCTTTGCCGACAGAGCAATTGTGCAAATCCTGCAGCAAAGATCCCGGACTAGCAGTTTGCAGGCTGGCCAGAACAGCATTCACAAAATGGACGCAGCTTGTGGCTCTATCCCCCTTCCCTCCCCAACGAGTAAAGGAGAAACAGAAGATTGCTCATCAACTGCTCCCTTCCTGTATATTTACATCCTATTACCCATGAAAATTTCCAAGGAAGCACAGGTTCATCACGCTAACAGGTAAGTGTCATCTCCTCTCCCCTGCCCCGGTCCTCTACACCCCTCGTCCTTCCCTGTCCCAACCCTTTAATGACCTGTTTAACGTCTCGTTCAGGGAACGCAGAGAGATGCTGGCTTTAGCCATCTTTCCAGCGAACACGAAGAGGAGAAGTAAAAGCCGGAGCGGGCTTGATCCTCTCTCCTGAAGCAGGCAGCAACAACAGGGACAGGAGATCTGACTCCTGCTGGAGGTTGGTTGTACCCAGGCTTTTTATAGACTGTATATCCAAATATAGGTCATAGATGCACAGACACATGCTCATGAACATAGCACATACTGGACTACACATCTGGAGCACTTCCTCCGACCCTGGTGATCCTGTCCGTCTTCATACAGAAATTAATTCAGAGGTGACACAGAAGGGGGTACCTACACTACACTATTCTGCTTTTTTGCTGTGTTTTGGCTTTGTTTTGCTGCAGCGCCCACCAGTTCGTATCTTGGGCCAAAGTCTCCTGCTGTTACAGGCTGTACAAGCAGATTGCTTTTCCTTTTGTGCTTTTTTTTTTTTTTTTTTTAAAGGTACGATGGTAAAATCAGATTTGGATGAGAATGAATTGTGTTTGGTTGTGGGGAAGCCACTTTGAGAAAAACCAAGATGGCTGGAATCTCTTCCGTAAAGGATGGACAGCCAGCACAACTGGCTAATGATTTTCAGGAGCTGGGTATGCAAAAAAAAAAAAAAGAGCTGGAAATTTTTCCATCAAAAAGAAGAAAAGAAGGCAGACAGATAATGTGCGTCTGGTAACAGCACAGCTGCTGAAACAAGAGAGCACAAACCCCATGAGTGAAGCAGGTCTTCAGCGACGACCAGGCATTCAGTTTCATGAAAGGTTAAGGACAGCCCAAGAAGGAAAAGCTTTTTTTTTCTTTTAATTCTTTGCCCATTCCATGGGAAATCCAGCCTGAATTGAACACGTCAAGAGCTGCAGCATTCCTACTTAGTTACACTCTCCCCACCTTCAACTTGCAAATTAAGAGATGTTTCTAGCAAGCCAAGTTCTGCTCGTTGTGTTCCTAAAGCTTTGAGAAGACAGAGGAAGTATGTGGGTAAGGAGGAGCTGTGCCTTTGGCCCTTTGTATTCCCCTTGTGACGACGCATACGATACAAAAAATCATGTCGAGAAGTGTAATTTTGGTAATATTAGAGTGAGTATAAGCACAAGGGAGCAGTGAGAGAGAAAGCATTTATTAAGTGTAATAGTTATTTTTCCCCGGGATAAACAACTAAATGCTTAAGACATTCTCACCTGCTCCTTCGTTTACTGCAGTGCAAACAAATCTAATTGGCAATGACAGTTAAACTAATTTGATTACTCATTAGTTGATGCTTCTCTAGTCTTATATGCAGCTGCTGACAAACTCATGAAAAATGTATTTCAACTATGGCCAATTTAAGCTGTGATACAGTTTAATGGGGAGAGTAACATAAAGCACTGCAATAGTTCAAAATGCAAGGAGTTCAGCCAACATCTCAGCATCCTCATTTAGCATTGTGGATGTCCCCGTTAGCATGAATTTCTTCCTCCAACCTTAATTACGCCCACTTAGTCATGAACTAATATTACCCCTAAATGTACTGAAACCCGTTTCACTTAAATTCGAGAAGCAAACTGCCAACCCCTGCAGTGAAAACATAGCGTGAGGCTGGTTACACCACGAGTACTTGCGTGAGTACGCAGCAAATCCCTTCCCTTGCCAAAGGTCACAGCAGGTTTCACTGTTCAGTTCACTGCCAGTGGATGTAGCTGGACTCATTTCAAATGCTCCAAGAAGCGGTTTTGCCCCACAAATTTCTTTCAACATCTTGGCGTCTAAGGTTCTGGCAATGGATACACAGATACAGAACTACTCTGATCAGCAACTAATACTCTCTTGGAACCTTTGATCTCTGCGCACGAGATCCAGTTCACCTTCTCGCCGTGCTCAATGGTTAGCTTTGGTAAAACTCTAGCGTGTTCATTTGAAGCCACTTTGTTGAGCTTTCCATCTTTTCTGGTGGAAGCAGGTGCTTGGGTTTTCCTTCTCTGCAGAGATTTTGCTGGACTTTTCTGCTGCTTTCCAACATCACTGCTGACATCCCAGAGCAAGACTTTCCCGTCGTTTCCTCCAGTCAACAACCAGTACGCTTCTGGCATAAAGAGGACCTGCGATACTCCCAAGCTGTGACCTTGAAACTCCAGCTCACGTTCAAACTTGACACCGGTGACTCTGAATATTCTGATTTTACCGTCTTGAGCTCCGCAGCCAAAGATGTTGCCGCATGATGCGACAGACAGGGAATGTGCAAGCGGTGGGTTAAAGAACTGGCCAGCTGACTGGGGGCTGTCTTCCTCCATTTCACACTCCTGCAGGTTTGTGGTCCACAAGGGGCGAGCTTTCTGCAGGTTCCACAGCATAACCTTGGGGAAAAAAAAAAGTATGAATCAATGATTTGTCCATTTTATGTAAAATCATCTCTTTCACTAACAGTAAAAATAAGCAACCACACTCCTTGCTCTAGCAGAGCAAAGGGTATGCATGAGTGCAAGAGATGCAAGATGTCTTGCAAGGAGTTGTTGAACTTCACCTGGCAAATGTGGGAAATCTTTACGGCATGCTTTCCAAACCCTCAGAGCGCCCTACTCAGCAGAGTCAATGAGTCAGACCTTTAGGCCATAAAATGGATGAAAAAGCTGTTCGAAATGCTTTCGCATTCATCTCAGCAGTAGTAATCATGATATACTGCACATCAATTATTTACAAGGAGGGACATGGAAACGCTAGCAGTAAACAGAGATCATTATCATTCTGAATTTTCGTTCTGTCTCTGCTACGTACTTGTCCTAAAATAATCACTTCCATGAACATGTTTGAAAAATGGAAAAGCAAAAGGCAAACAGTAGTTCAGGCCCTCATTTTTAAACAGAAATTTATGCTTTTTTTTTTTTTTATATCCAATGAGTAGATCTGGTTTGTGCCATTACCATACTGAGGTAGGGCGTGCTTTTCCTGATGAGATGGCGGGGAGGTTATGCTTTTAGACTCATTTTTAAAATGCCACCCCACCTCCAAGCCCCTCATGAAGCAGTAACTGCGCCTGCAAATGAATCCTGTGTCTCTGATACAGCAATTCAAGTACTATAGATTTATGCTGTGCCAGTTAAAAACGATTCTCTCAATACTTTTGCAGGATCTGAATTGATGATGAGCATTTTCAAGGCCAACAGACAGGAAAGCACAAGTTAGTCTAATGCAGTACTGGTGTGCTGTTTGCTCTTTTTAATCAAAGGTTTAATTTGTTTTTAATAAAAATATTCCTCCACTAGTAATCTCCAGTAGAAAGTACAGGAGTCTTTAAATTTGGGTCACAAAAGAGTTGTCACACAGGCTCTGTGTCTCTGGAATCCAAATCACACTAAGACATCCAAAATATCTTTTTTCCTTTCACTTTTCTGTTTTAGCGACTGCTTTTGCTGCTACATTAAAACTACCTCACTACCGATGAAAGGGAAAACTTTCCACGATGACTGTGCAGAGCAGAGTAAATGACAGAGACTGAGTCCTAATGCTTAAGGCAAATACTCCCATTTTCATCACAGATAACACTGCAACAGCTTTATGAATTCATCAAACGCTAACAAGTTTTCTGCAAACTAAGTATTTTCTGTCCTCGTGACATTTTCTGTGCTTCCCGTGGAAAAATGCTCTTTTCATTGTACAAAAAGCCACTAACAAATTCCTACTATTTTGGGATACTGACTTTCGCCTAAAAACCAACTTGCCAAGCTACAGTAAACCATACTAAAACTAAAAAGTCACAAAAAAATAACCAGTTCACTTGCACAGAAGTGATATATAAATGCTTACAATTCCGATAAAAAGTTTCTTGCCATAGGCTTGTGAATCTGCATTTTAGGGCCCTGAATTAAGCCAGCCATCTAAGGTGCTGAGCATTTACTCCTCTCAGATTGACGTTTCTGAAAAGAAGTTTCTCACAATACTTCATTTAAAATCCTACATCCATCTTTTAGTGAACCTAAGGAAAAAAAACAAACAAAAAATTGGGAAAATTTCTGAAAATTTGGCAAAGTCTAAACCTGGCAGACTTCCATCAATCGGCCCCTATTTGGATATATATACTTACTGAATTTATACGATCCATGGCTTTAATATGAAAAAATACCGCTTATACTAAATATCAGCATGTATTTGCTCTAATGGGTGTTAGATGCACTTCAGTTTTAAGAACGTAGGGTGAAACTGCTCAACGCTGTCAAAACAAACTTCACCCTAACATCGCTAGAACCACGGAAACCCTTGTAGAAGTGACAGTTTTAATCTTGGGCTAAAGCAGGATGCAGGAATGTGGTCAGATCTCAACCACTGGAAAGAAACTACTGAAAAACATCTGTTGTGGATGGCCAACTTTGGCAACGTAACTCAAGACTCCATTAACTCCTAGCATGGTTTTTCTCAGAATGCGTCCACAAGTGGCGTGCAAAGGACAAAGTTTCCTCTTGATGAGGCTAGAGAAGCATAAAAGGCAAAGAACATTTAATGCTTCCAAGAGGTTAATCAGAACAAAGGATGAATTCTAAAAATGACTTGTCCTTACAGTGATACATACCACTTGGAAAGATATTTATCAACCTGTAGTAAAGTATTCTTGCTAGCATCCTGTCCGCTTCAAGTGTTTGGCCTTTTCCTGTCATCTGCATTTTGTCTGCAGCCATAACTGATCACTCGGGACAGGTTCTGGTTTTGCTTGGTCCAACAGGGAGCTAAAGTGGCACAAGCATGCTTTGCACCGTTTTCTGATTTCCTCCCACCCCGCTCACTTTTAGATTGTAAATATTAAGGAAGATAAAAGGAACTGCTGAGTAGAAAATGGCACGAATAGCCTCGACACTTAGTGTCTCTGCCAAAACCACTTTAGAATAGTTAAGGAGCTTTCCAGTGACCGCAGACTGTACACTCTCACTCTTGGTGAAAGTCTGTTGGCTCCTCACTACACAGGTGGGTAGTTACCGTTTCGCTTCTCTAATAACCATCTACTTGTATGCAAATCACCTGCATGTCCAGTCCACAGGAAACAAGGCTTTGAGGCCTCTGAGGTCGAAAGACAACAGAGGAGCAGATGTTTGAGTGTCTCAAGGACCGGCTGACTTTCTTGTTTTCCAAGTCCATAACCTTTATTGCCCCCGAGTCATCTGCTGCAGCCAAGAAATTGTCGGTCTCATTCACTGAGAGGCAGTTGATCTCCTCCTCATTCACGTGGAAGCGTTCAATGGGCTCCTTGAGGGATCGGACATCCAGCAAACTGATAGTTTCTCCGTGGGAGGTGTATAGCCTGGTGGGATGGCGGGGAGAGAACACCACGGAGGTCACATCATCCGCCTTTGGGAGCTGGAGCTGTCCTGTCGGAGTGCCTCCTCCATCCCAGAGCGTGAGCTCACCTCTCTCCGCACCTGAAGCCACCAGCCCTTCCGTGTTAACGTTCAAGCACAATATAGAGGACGAATGTCCACCAATCCATTTGACTGCCATGTTCCAGGGACACTTCTGAAACAAACAAACAAACAAAAAAAAAAACCAACCCTGAAATGAGGTGGTGTTGGTTTCATTACAGCAGAAAGCTTATCGAAGCAACAAGATCATCCCATTGACTGTAATGCAAACTACTCGAAACTCTGGTTTCTCTACAGATCAGTACCCAAACGAAGCTTTGGCTCAAACAGCATCAACATCAGCCACAACAGCATGGAATGGCAGCGGTGCTACCATGTGTACCATGGAGTAGATCTGCTGCTCTGACGTGGCTGCCTCAATGACAGCTGCTTCCTCAGTGTGTAAGGACACAGCATGCACAACAAAACAGGGGCACAGTTCCTAATGGTATGTACTGGAAAGGAGCAAGAGGAAGACGGCAAACTGGTAAAGCCTGTCTGCAGAGAAGTCACGTTATTCCAGTCTGGGTGACAGCACATGCGGACGTCCGTCTTTCATCCAGCTGCCGAGGTGCTGGGTAGTCAGTACCTAACATCAATCTGTAAAGCAGTCTTGCAATACCTGGAGCAAGAAACTTGTGCTGGTGAGAGTGGGATAAACTGATTAATGCTGAAAGTGATTGCCTTAATTACGGTTTAAAAGCATACATTTGTGTGAATAAATAATTTTAAACTATTGTGCATGCGTACTTTGCATTCCCAAAGTGAAGGTAATTTTCTTGTGACTGGTAAACACTAAAGCATAAACAGATAAACAATGGCATCTTTCTAAAAGAAGCATTACCAGTTTAAGGCAGGTAGTTACGAGGTTTGCAACACATTTAACTGAGCCTGGAAGTGCATCCATCGAGCTTACCACGCTCCAGGCCCCTTCCTTGGCGTGACTGCCCACAGCAGCCAGCGTGACAAGACTGTTCAGGGGAACCAAATCAGCAGAAAATTAAGTTGGGGGAAAAAAAATCAAGCAACACAAAAGCATAACAAGTTTTGGAGAGACCAGCATGCTGTGCAGGAAAAGGAGAGCTAATACCCTGGAAGTGCATCCATCGAGCTTACCACGCTCCAGGCCCCTTCCTTGGCGTGACTGCCCACAGCAGCCAGCGTGACAAGACTGTTCAGGGGAACCAAATCAGCAGAAAATTAAGTTGGGGGAAAAAAAATCAAGCAACACAAAAGCATAACAAGTTTTGGAGAGACCAGCATGCTGTGCAGGAAAAGGAGAGCTAATACCGGGGTAAGGGCACAGACGGCAACGTGGGGTTTGTGGGACGGAGCTATGGCTGTCCCAGCAGCAGCTTCAGCAACTGTGGCACTGCCTTAACGTCTATGGTTTTATTGCGTTATCGGACAATAAAGGATTTATTTTTGTTGTGGGTTTTTTTTTATACCATGTTATGTTTTGCAGGTGATTTTTGTTAAGCCTGGTCTAAAGAGCAGCTAGAATTCATTCAGTCCACCAGGAAAATTTCAGTCTCGTCAATTAACTAAAATTACAGAAAGCGCCGGATACCTTACCCG